CGCGCTGTCGGCAACGGTGCTTGAAGTCGAAGTCCCCATGCGTATCGTTGACGTAGGAGAGAAGGTACCGTGGTTACCACTTCAGAGCGAAAGGATGCTGCGGATTCACGGCAAAGCGAGAAGACATCCCCCGAGCAGAATGTCTTCCGCATCAGTATGGCAAACAGGGACGGACAAATCACATGTGCGCGGGAGGGAAAATGATCCGCTGGAATAACAACCCACGAAGACAAAGAAGCCACAGTGCGCTGCAACGAAGGCGATGACCAATAAGCCCGATCTTGGAGGTTATTCCGATGAGTGTCCATTAACTGAGTCAAAACCGGCTGCAGATCTGAAAGGAGACTGGAACCATGGACATGCCAACGGCGAGCAAGTTTGCGAAGTTGCGAGGTGAAACGTTGATGCAATAAGTCGACATCACCGAAATACTGATCCTTCATTGAGGCGGCCATGACTTCAATGTCAATGTCCGCATTGATGCGAGAAAACTCATCCACCATTACAGCGTGACCATGTGCACGGTGTATATGGTGATCATCGATGTCCAAACAGCGACACGGAAAGGATGTTTCAGGAGTCCATCTGCGCTGCCATGTGCGGTAGTTGTGTATCTTGTCGCCCAATGTGGCGCTGCGAGTTTCCACCACCCGGATCTTTGGAATGAAAAGAGAAGGGAACAGATCCCGATGAGAAGCAATCCAGCTTTGTAGCCATGTGCCAAGTAGAGCTTTCCAATTCCGGACATGCAGCGGCGGTAAGAGTAGCTGTGTCAAAGTGGTGGGTGGTTGTAGCCGTCGTTTGCGCAGCACCTGGGCGAGGAGTTTCTGCGCCTTGGAGCGGAAGGGCTCGTTGACAAAGACTGCGAGCCGCAATAAGTAGTACAGCTGAGTGGGAGGGAAAGCCGCCGACAGCAGGTCACGCATGACTTGGAATGATGCTCCTGCATTCGATCCCAGCTGATAGAGAATAGAGTAATGGGCTTGAATGTCATCCAGGATGTCAGGTCGTAGTTGCCGTTGGAGATCCGGATGTAGTCGTCGTCGAAATCGCTTGTGCAAGCCGAGGGAAGTGGGAGAAGACAACGAGTGACGTCGGAAATCCACGAGATGTTCGCGGAAGCCCACCTTGCGCAAGATTCTGTGGACCCAGGGCGCATTCAAATGCGGGCGTAGCAGGTATTGCCATTTGCTTTCTTGAACCCACACCGAGGAAACAGGAAGTTTGATTTCCACCGGAACAGCACAGAAGAGCCAGTATGTATTGGATCTCTTCCAGTAGTGGAGCGCTGGTTCGAAGAAGGCATGCCGTCCACGAAGTAGTTGTAGAAATTTGCGACTGCGTGAATGTTCACAACGTAGAACATCCTGATCAGTCGCCCCAACATAGTAGGGCGTGTGCCATGGGGAAAGTCGTATGTAGACGCACGGTTGTTGATGATGACCTGGATCGTGTATGAAGTCATAGAGGTCAGGAAATCGCGCCCGCAATGAACGTAGATGTCGCGTGTCCGCAAAAGTAGAGTGCATGATTTCACACAAGAGAGAAGTCTTGTAGAAGTGAAGGACTTCAAAGAACGGCGGGAAATAGCCGTGATCTTGTGAAATAAGACGTTGTAGGAAACTAATCAATAAATAGGCAGTGCACCGACATCTGTGAAGTTCATACCTGTTGGCCACGGTGTGCTGAGAGTGTGACATAGCGTGATTCGGAATCTGAAGGGCTATCCGGACCACAACTAAGACTTCGAGGATGAGACCCAGCCACGGCAATTGTGTGATTGATTCGTACTCCTCAGTTGGAATCGACGGTGGTGGTAGTCCAGGAAAACAGTACTGCCAGCACGTAGAGAACATGGTCAACGAGTGTAGAAGGTCGGCCAGCGACTGCCATTGTGCAACATCATCATAGATTCCGCAGCGGCGAAGTTCATCCAACATGGTGAGATACAACCAATGAAATCTACCACAAGGCGGCGACATGAATACAAGCATCACTGACAATCACACAAAAGGCAATGCAAGAACGAGCAAGTACAAGATCAAACTGGTGCAACGCAGAAAATTGACGGACGAGTTTTCACCTGGACTCATCCGTGGCATTGGTGCCGCTCCGGGCTCATAAGAGAACGAAGGTCTTCATGATGCCTTCTCATCCACAGAGTAGGCGAGCGGTCACGATGAGGTGACTCATTGCCTTCTCAGTGAGCTTGGTAAGATAGCCGGGCTCTAGTCCCCACGAAGCCGCCATCGCCCCGAGAGTGGGTGCGTCGCCTTTCGGCATGCGTTGTCGCGCCTGAAGGAGCTGCGTCGCCATAGAATCTAATGACTTGTTGCCGTTGAGCCGGGAAGGGTGATTGGCCCACTTAACCAGCGATGCCAAAGTAGTGGTTGTGGGCGATTGCTTGAGATAAAGGCGAGGTTGGTCACTGGTCCATGTGTAGTACTTGACGACTTCATCCGGCGTGCTGTGCATAGTGAGCAATTGTGACGCCACCGGTTTGGACGGCGGTGACGACACTCCGTGAAGAGACTGAATGATCCGAGGTTGCACCACGCTATCAAACGACTTGCCATCCAGGGCGGCTGCGCTGGCTGTAGGAAGGGAACTGGCAGGTGACGATGATGGCGTGTGGTTGACCGGTGGCGGTGTAACCAACTCTGCATCATCCTTCTGGTTTGTCATCGTGGGAGAGGTCGAAGCGCGAAGCGATGCGGAAAACTGAGCTTGGAGAAGTTCGTGTGCACGATTTAGATCATTGTACTTTTTGACCATGTCATCTGTCTGGGTGGCAGGTGCGAGAGAGGTGTGATGCTGCTGAAGAAATTGAAGTACCAAGCCGGCCAAATGGTCGTGGACCTTGATGCGCTGATTGAAGTCATCGATGTTGAGACCCAGCGTGTTGGCAAGGTCCTTTTCCAGGGTGAGCAGGTTGAGTGACTGCGATCTTCGTAGTAGTTTGGAACAGGTACTCCAAAGCAAGGCCTCGGTGCGAGTGCGAAAGCCTTCCCACGTCACGAATCTGCCGTGTGCAAACGGCCTGAGTAGCCAGTTGGTGAGACCCCCGTGGATAACCTGAACCAGGCGTACGTCCCTGATATCCATGCCTGACATGTCGCGAAGGTTGCCATGCGGAGTGTTGGCAACAGTCATGGGCAGGCTGAAGTTGTAGAGCTGATTGACATCAAACATGCCATCTCCAGGTGTCCAGTCAGGCGAGGGTGTAAGCCAGGCTTTCTGAGGACGAACCGGTAGAGCCGCAGGAGGTCCAGGTGGCGGTGCAGGTTGGGAGTAGTGACCGGTGGTGGCATCACGGGTGGCATGAACTTGGTTGGCGTGGGGTCTGGAGGGATCGGCATCATGTAGTTGATCGCTGGGTGTTGGAATTGTTGTGTGGGATTGTGAGTCGATTGAAAGTTGGTAGGTATCATCGGAAAGTTGTTGGCAGCGTTGTAGCCGGTGTTGTGTTGCCATGAAACCAGGTTGTTCCAATCCATGTTCTCCGAGACCTGGCTGTCATTGTGTTCACGTCGGCGCGCTTTGCGAGCTTGAGGGGAAGGACTCCGATCACGTCTGCGCCGAGTCCTAGATCTATCTCGATCTTCACGTCGAGACATGATGGCACAGCAAATGCAACACCGCAACGCAACACTCTTGAGAGGAACAAGTCAAATAAATGCAAGTGCATGCAAGTTCAAGCCAGCAGCCAGCAGTAGACCGAGTGAGACGTCGCTATGATCTGACGGCTTTCTTCCCTTTAGTGAAACCTCGTTCCTGGTTAAATGTGAAATTCCGCTGTTCTATGATAATCACGTTGAGGTCAAATTTTCCGACAGAGCCGGCCCGGGGTCACACAATGGGTACACCCGAGGATTCCCCACGAATGGGGTGTACACACTTGAACTCCAGATGGAGAGTGCTAATCTTTCGAGTACAACTGATGAGTCTCGAGTACAACTGATGAGTCTCGACTAGGTTCTGCTCGCGATGCACTCGGCTTCCCTCTAGTAGCGAACACGTTACCCGAAAGAACAAGAAGCACAAACAGCGCCGCAACCAAGGGGGCCAAAAGGACTTTCAGAATCACGGCATCACGGAATCACGGAACTGCAGGTACGCCGGAGTGGCCAACTCCGGTATCCCGTCTTGCTGCCTAGCTTTGTTAGACCAGGTCAGCAGCAAGACGCCTGGTCCTCCTGCTGCAACAGAAAAAGGTTTTGGTGGCAGGGTTCTCTGCCACTCCGCACACACACACACACAAATCAAGTGACTTGCTTCTCTAGGCATATGCTCCAGGTCAGGTTCCTTTGAACTGCCCTTTGGCCTTGGTTTTTGTTAGTCGCTTCCCTTCGCTGGTTTCCCTTGGCTTCCCTTCCTGTGGTGTTCTTCTGGTTTTATCAGTCTGAAGCTAGATAAACAGGCTGACGGAATTCCCTGCCCGAACTCCGAACCGACCGGCAAGATGGGTAGTTCTAGTTGGTTACCCTTTGGACGTGAGAAATACATGGGGAACGCGTCCAACCATTTGGGTCCAGCATTTGGATCGATCCATTTGGCTGTGGCTCAGAAAGTACCCAAAATGGAACGCTGGGAAGTGGAAACGGAAAACACGCGGGTCCCCTGGTGGTGAAAATTTTGACCCATACCCAGGTCCACCATTTGGATCCATTTGGACTCATAGCCATTTGGACTGCTGCGCACTGCCAACCTGACGCTGGGTTCACTCGGGCAAAACTCGACCCACGGACCCAACAGATCTGATGATCGATTGGGCCGCCAAGTTGCACCAAAGGATCGGATGGTGTCAAATCCCATTTGACTCGGAAGCAATTCCCCAAACCGATCGTGGAACAACTGATTTTGTTCCCAAAAAAAGCACTGACAAGACTTTGTGTCCCCAGACCTTTAGTCCAACTGGAAAGCAAAATTCCGAACGATGGCTCAGCAGCCGCAACTGCAGCCCGATTGCACCCATTTTTGACCCGCAGCCGCTTCCTCGCCTGGCTTCACCGGAACCACCAGCTGCTGCCAGAAGCTGGCAGAAAGCTGCTGCGCGTCAGCCGCCAGACCGCTGCTCCGCTGGAAGGCCTGTCGACATCTGGAAGAAAGACAAAAAACGTCCCGGGTCAACCCTTGCGGTTTCCTTTAAGGGTGAGAGGGATGGACCTGTCTTGGGCCCCATCGCTTCGTTGCAGAGAAAGCTCTAGGAAGTCAGTTGCAGAGGATGTTCAGCGGAATGGGGAGTCAATCAGGTGAGACCAAAGCCTGGGCTCATTCCCACATTCCCTGAGCAGCAAGAATTCACTTTGGTGAAAGGTGGGATTGGGGATAGCGAGTTACTTCTCAAACCTTGGCAACCTAGACACAGTTCCTAGCGCCCCATGGCCTCACTGGCTTTGGAGCTAGGTGTTCTGCAGTATCCCTAAGTATCCCTATTGGCGGTTTCAACGTGTGTTTCTCTTTCTTTGCAGGACCCAAAAGTAGTTTCCAGCCCTCGAAATGCCATTGCGAAACGTGCAACCACTCATTGATTCGATGCCAAACTGAAAAAGACGCGGGGGTTGATCGATATTCCATTTTGGGTCCCAAAAAACGACCATGGGTAACTTTACCCATGTGAGTCACAATCAAAACCCGGCATGAAAATGGTCTACCCAGAACCATGCTTCAGGATTCAGAAGGCGGATATCCGCGACTATTTTCTGGCTGGCCCCTAACCGGATCATCTACCCGAATCGGTTTTGAGCACGTGGCAAATTTGTGGAGAACATCATCTTGGTGGCTTCCCCTCCTTTTGGGTCAACCCCCATGCTCCTTCCGGCCTCGATGGCATCCTGCAGACCGTCCATGGAGTCCTCCCAGCGAAAGGCTTCACACTGCCTCGCCAGCATGTCGGCGGTTCAGCGGGGTGCGGGAACGAATTCCCGCAGGTCGGTTCAAAACTGGGCTACCCTCAGATCCCCCGCTAAAAGTGACTAACTTTTAGTGGGTTAAATGAAAACTAGCTACAAAGCTAAGGGCATGGCTGGGAGCCACCAAGAAAAGAGAAATCTGCCGGAAAACGAGCTTAGGGGTGACTGGACCCAATCATGCATGTTCCCCTGCAGCTCACGCCCCTCAGAGACCTACCATAGTCGGCTCGAAGATCTGGGTATGCGTTTCTTGGAAACTCGGCACCCTGGTCAGGTTGGGTCAAGCAAAACCGAAGCCCAATTTGGGGATCCAAAATCCTATCTTAAGACCTCCGATCTTCAACGGTGGCACTTTCGTTGGCCTGAAGCCATGGTGAATCAGCAGCAAGTCCACCGCCACAAGTTGGTAGTAATACCTCGTGACTCGTGGCAAGGGACTCGAACCAACATTGGCATGTTTTTCGATCGCGAGAAACAATCATAGCAGCAACGACTTTTGGACTCAGGAAAAAAACAATCTGACTTTCCTCCAGCACGGCAACTGCCAGCAAATGCATAAGTAGCTCTTGATGTGCAAGAGGATTCAACTGGCCTTCCCTGCCTGAAGTTGCTGTCGCCCACTCCGGTCAGAAGACCTGGCCTGCACCCGAGTTCGGTTCCCGGAACCCACGCCTCTCTGAATCTGCGGCATGCAAAACCCCCATGAGCAAACACCCTCAGTCCACTTTGGGCAAACTCCACTTGCATCGCAGGTGTGATATGGTGTGATTTCTCAAAGCCAGTCCTTTCTCCATCTGCTTCTTTGCGCTTTAAACGAATCTCAATACCTTCGAATTTTGCCCCAGTCTCGGAAGTGCTGACTCGGCCTTCCATTGGCAAATCCTCGAAATGAGTTGGGCCACTCTTGACCTGGTAGCGCACAGGGACTCACAGTCATCGCACTGCAAAGCGCACCCGCACCTAAAGCCGAATGAAGATGCACCAGAAAAAGAACCTAAGGTTCGCGAAGCGCACATGAGTGGTCTCTGAGGGAATCAACAACCAGCTGGCTAAGGCCAGAACAAAAAATTCGGCAAAGTTTGACACATGGCTGCGCATGTGACTTTCTATCCAGGGCTCATGCGGGTGTTTCTCAAACTCACATGCCCAATTCCATCGAGTCTAAGCCACTCTCACAACACGGTCTTGAACAACTAGTTTCAAATCACTCAGTGACGTGCAATGATAAGGTGTCGGCTGTTGGACAAAAGCCGAATTGTTGCTGGTGTATGCTGAACCAATGGTATTCTTATTCATTCAAATGTCTTCTAAGATGCTATCTCCGTTTGAACAGCCTTTGTGCGGAAAGAACTTTGACGCTGCAGGCGTGCAGTCGTGATTGAATAATATCATGCAAGCAGGAGCTGCAACAAATGCAATGCCGCAACAAGTGAGTGCAAACCCAACCCCGTGCATGTGTGGACGAAGTACAAGAGCCGCCTTGGCAGAATGCACAACCAAACTGCAAACCGCAGGTCAAATGCAACACACCCCGAAGAAACGAAGATGCAACTCAATGCTGACCCTGAACAATCTAACCTGCCAGATTCATTTGGGATCTTGTGCATTTTACATTGGTACGGTTGTTGCAGGCAGCGACTAAACTTCGCGCAAATTTGCACAAAACTAATCCAATATTGCAACTCAACTGGCTCAAAATCGTCTCTCGCCTCTGGCTGGGTGGCTATCAGTTGAGCATCGGTTTTTGCAAACGTCTGACTCCGATCTTGGTTTCCGACCACTTGGACCTCCTGTGCGTTTTCACGGCTTCTACTGGCTTCTTCTGTCTCTCCTCCGCTTGCTCAGGGCCTGGAAAGTTAAGGGACTGAGCCTCAACGAAAAGGCCTTTGGGCTTGGTTTTGCGATAAGTCTTGCATGAGGTCTTTTTTTTCCTGCAAGCCAACCGAGCTCGGCAAATGCTTGAATGGTTGACTGTGCAGAAGGCTCCAGGCCTTGCGACCATCAGAATCACTTGCTTGCGACGGAATTCGCTTACTCGCGACCATGTGGTTTTGAAGGCTTAGGCTTGGAAGGCTTCGGCTTTCCAGGATTTAGGTGTTGTATGGTTTAAGTTTTTTTTGCGTTTTAGGGTTTAGGGCCTTGAGGGTCAGGTTGTTTGGGGCTCAAAGGTGAAAGTTTTTAGGGTCCAAGATTCGAGTTTTTCGAGGAGCTTAGGATTTTATTGGCTTGAGGGTTTGAGGCTTCTAGGGTTCAGGCTGTTTGGGCCGCAAGGTATAAGGATTGTAGTGTTCAAGATTCGGGTTTTAAGGGCTTATGGTTTTTAGGGTTTAAGTGCGTCTTAGGGTTTAGGATGTTTAGGGTGTGTTTATTTTAAGGCTGAGTCTTTTCGAGGAGCCTAGCAGGGTGTAGGTTTTGAGGGCTTAGGCTTTGTTGTAGGGTTTCGTTTTTCAGGGTTTAGGGTTTTTAGGGTTTAGGCTTTGTAGGGTACAAGTGTTTTAGGGTTTAGGCCTTTTAGGGTTTGGATCCTTTGGGGACTTAGCCTTTGTCAGCTTGAAGTTTTTGGGCGGTGTGTTCTTTAGGGTTTATGTGCTTTTGGGGCTTGGACTTTGCAAGGTTGAAGCTTGTTAAGGCTGAGGGTTTTGAAAGCTTGGGCGTTTCAGGCTGTACGCTTTCCAGAATTTCGGCTTTGTGCGTTTTAGGCTCTTTCGGGTTTAGGTGTGTTTGGGCTTTGTAGGGGTTCAAAAGCTAAAGTTGCCTTGGACCCAAGATTCGGGTTCTTAGGTCACTCATGGGTTTACAGGGTTCACGTTTGGGATTGAAAGGCATAAAGATTGTAACCTTCAAAATTCACGCTTTCTGCTTCGCGCCGCCGACAAAAAGTGGTCTTTCCAACGCCGGCCAACCGCTTGCCAGATGGCCGAAGTTTGCTGACTGCAATGTTCCTGAAATTGAGCAACTACCTTGTCAGTAACTTCAGAGCGGCCCGCCAAGCTCGACTGCAGTAGCACCGCGCTGCTACACATGGGATTCCTTTTCCCAGTCATACATCTTGTCCTTGCCAACGCATGTGTGCACCTCCCTGTGGCTGCTTTGCTGCACAATACACGTTGATGCGGTGGAAGATCGGGTGAAACATGCGGAACACTTCACCACATAAATGAAGCAAGTTTTGGAGCTTTTGCCACCGTAGGCATTAGGGCTTCACAAGCTGCAGCGGGGTGAAGCATGCTCGGCCAGCACCTCCTCAAGCTCTCTTCCATATCTGTAACTTGAGATGTCGCGAGAAACTTCGCTAAGATTGGCATGGGCGCGTCGGAAAACATGAGAGGCGGCACTGGGCACTTGTCCTACGCGTTGGCTTATCATTGCTGGCAGGCAAAGCGTTGATTTTGAGCGCTGCGGCCTTTGCTGGCGGATACCCAGAATCATACCCGTCATCCAGTAACTTCAACATGTCTTTGGCAAACTGAAAATGGATTGGCAAGCATGTCTAGGTGAGAACGCTGCGACCGGGTCTCGGTCGTTAGTTCAGGCAAATCCTCTCGAGTATCCCTTGCCCTTATTTGGCATCGCGCTCTCCTCGCGGAGGTCGTTTTGCAGGATTCACTTGTTTGAAGTCTTCGATCTCCCCCTGCAGGCTTGCCTTCTGTGCGGCCATTGGATCAGCAGTTCGCGCGCGCTTTGCTTCGACAGGAGCTACATCATCACCATGCTCGGCTTGCTCTTTGAGGAGGCTTTCTGCATCTGCTAGATTCTGATCAATTGCCTTGTCAACCTCACCACACTGACGCTGCAACTCGAAATCATTTGCTGCCTGGGTCTGCTCTTCACGCGCGCGGCTAATCCGAGCTTCAGCCAAGTGAACCTCAGAGATAAAATCGGACCTCGTGCGTTGTTCCTAATTACAAATCCTTTGCGATTGCGCTTGCGCACATTCGGAGTAGTGTGCACGCAATTGATGCTGTGCGGCACTCGCGGTTCTACGCTTGCAGGTGGGCCCGAATTGCAGCATCATTGTCAAACGCAAAGATGGCAATATTGTTCAACTGTAGGGAATGCGTGAGGGTGCGGTTTTGCAGCGCGTGCAAACCACCCGGTGAAATGCGCGCATTGCTGCCGGTGGCGTGACTAAGGTCTTCATCTACCAGCATGTTTGTCCAGCCCACTAATACCATTGCCATAGCTTTTTAAGCTAGGGGTTTACGGGTGATAACCTGTAGCTTCATGGGTCAAGTAAACCATACAAGTGGGTGGCTCAGCACGATCCTTTTGAACCTCCACACTGCGTGACATGCAAGTGATACAATGATGGACAACCCCCCTGTTATTGCGACACTTGTGCCTTGCAACTTTTCTCCCACGCAAAGCCGTCAGACGCTCATACCAAAACTACGCAAAAATGAACGCGGGAAATGCTGAGCCATCGTGTGCGGCCCAACTATCCACTGCCTCTCCTGGCCCCTCTGCAGCTCTGACCCCACATACGCAATGAAGATGTTACATTCAATCAAAGGTCGCCACTGTTCCTGACCTGTTCCAGCAAGGGCATCGTCACGTGCCTTCTCCAGCAGATCCACTGTGGCCTGGCTAGTCCACATCTTTGCTTGACAGCTCACCCTGAAGTTCGAAAACGGCAAAGCCACATAAAAGTCAACCGGCTCGTAGCCATCTGGTGTGAAAATGATCAGTGCTTGTTCTTGGTGTTAAGGCATGTCGCACTGCTCCTAGCTTGAACCCAAACATGAAACCTCAAAAGAACAAAGTTCGTCCGAAGCGGCCGCAGTTCTTTTCACCGGGATTGCTGAAAGTTGCACTGCTTCCAGGGCACTAGTGCGCCTGGAGCAGGAGGCACATTGACCCCCCGAAATGTGAAAAGGCAAGACAATGCGTGTCCTTGCGGGTAAATGCAGTGCTTGGGGGGGGCGCGGCACGCGTGCCCACGCCCCAAGGTCCGGAGACCGACAGTCCGGAGACTGGAGGTCCGGAGACCGATTGTGGTCCGGAGACCTAGTCCGGAGACTACGGTGCCCGGAGGCGACCCACGATAATGCAGAGAAACTGCCGTCTATCCTGGCAAAGCCTGGCATAGGGCAATGCAGGGTGGGTGGGTGGGTTTCGAAATGAAACCGCAGGTTTGGGTCAAGGCTAGGAGCAAAACGGCCAACGCATAGTTCGATTCACCACATGCCCTAAACACAAGGGAAAAGAAACCCTAAGCGTTAAGGCATGTCGCACTGCTCCTAGCTTGAACCCAAACATGAAACCTCAAAAGAACAAAGTTCGTCCGAAGCGGCCGCAGTTCTTTTCACCGGGATTGCTGAAAGTTGCACTGCTTCCAGGGCACTAGTGCGCCTGGAGCAGGAGGCACATTGACCCCCCCTTCAGTGTTTCAGGCAACCCCGGTAAAAGCGAACCAGCTGGGCCGAAGGCCTCATCACCCGCCCTTCAGAGTGGGGTTGTACCTGGCAGGGCAGATGCTAGGGTCACCATGCACGCTGTGTTGTGAACAGCTCGGCATGCGGTGACTGCACTTTTTCTGGTCAGAGCGGCTTGTGTAAGCGGCTGGCTGATATTGCCCGTTGTTCTGCCTGGCAAGGCAACGGCAGAAAAGGGGTTCGGAAGGCCAAGTCGGATGCAGGCTAGGCTGGCTCAGCGACGATGGAAGCTGCTGCCAAATGTTCCGGACGCCAGGGAGCATGCATCGGACACAGTTGAATGCCTCGGCCCGACATCGCCAGGCTTGCAGGGCTGAAGCGCATGCGACTTTCAGGGCGATGGCTGAATCGGGTCAACCGACCTCTGCTGAGATCGTCTGCCCAATCATTGCACCTTCCTGGAACGTGCGTTGGCTGCAGCAGCACGTTGTGAGCGTGAGCCCAGAAGGCTGTTAACTGCACAAAAAGTTGCAGCGGCCATGAGGTCGTGAACAATTTGTTAAGGCTTGCTTCCGTGGCGGAATTGTCCGTGCCGGACGGCATGCTAAACGAGTAGTGCCCACCACCAACGTGGCTGTGGGTTGCTTGCAGCAGTGCTAACTGTGCAAGTGTTTCAAAGCATGCGATATACCGCTGTGCTGGCTTGACAAGGCAAGGCCACACGGCTCTTATGTCTTGCATG